ATACGAATTTGTTTATTATAGTGACATTGTGTATATATACAGTATAATAATAATATTTGTCAATACAATGTGTGTACACCCGGCCCATTGGACCTATAAGTCACTTAAAAAATATAAATCTAAAAAAACATTTCATAGTAGAGTCCTGTAGTTCAATTATTTACATAAATGAATTGTCTGCGTTTTATAAATGCTTGTAAAATATATTTAGCTGTTCTTCTTGGAAAATAAGTTAGAAATTGTATTAATTGTTCACAGTGTGGCAGTGATAAAAATGTGTCTTTGCCTGGTAAGGTTGAGTAAAGTTCAGTAATAACTATTGTATAATGAGGACTTAATTCCCATTAGCATGAACACAGAGAATGCTTTTACAATTAATTATCAGTGTTAAAAAGCAGTCTTTAAAAACAAGAACAAATGTTTTAAATATTCATTTATTTTTGTAAGAAGGTTTAAAATGAGAGAGTTTTGTCATAGAAACATTCCTCAAAGCCAAAAATTCACGACGATACACTCACATTACAATCATTTTTAGACTACAACCGGTATATTTCTTTTTCATCAAACAGCCCAACGACATAAATAACCAAAAAACATCTTCATAACAATTATGAATCGTAAAGTAAGAACATTTCAATAGATACTATGTTTTTGTCCAGAATACATTTTGATAAAACAAATTCAATTTTGACATTTCTGAAATACGGATCATCAAAATTCTTCCGACACCACTATTTAAAGACACACAGTTACTGCAATAACATTTTTTTTTTACATCTTGTGAAACATTTTCTTCATAGCATATAAATTTGAAAAAAAAACATAGTTTGATTGCATAGTTTACTGAAAAATCATCTATGCTATCATGACAATATAAGACTGCTTGTTTCACTGCCAGTAACGAATATTTCAGACATAATCAGAACGATTTTTAGGTCCAAATAACAAAAATATTAGTATTTTCACTGACAAATACAAAAGTAAATTACAATTTTATTTGTTTTTTAATATTCACAGCAAAATATCGGTTTATAAATATGCTATCTATAGTTATTAATTATGAACAAATTTTCTTAGTTCGAAAAATGCAATAGTTTAAAAAATTACAACAACAATGTAAAAAATGATAATAATTGTTATGTATAATTGTTATTATTATCCTTTATATTATTTTATTACATTTTTTTTACTATTTATGAATTCACAATAATAATACCTCGGATACTTTAGGCGTGTTTTTTTAGAGACCCAAAATAAAGTCTATATTGAAATATATTGATTGCTATTGACAACAGAATATTATATTCAAAGATACGGAATTACTGCCATACCGATCCTTTTTTCCTCATGTGAAACATTTTTCTCATAGCAATTATGATTCATAAATTAAAATAAAAATTTGATAGATACTTTGGTCTAGAATAAAATTTGATATAACAAAGTAACTATTGACATTTCATAAAATACCGATCATCAAAGTTCATATGTCTAGCTTCCGACACCACTATTCAAAGACACCCAGTTACTGCAATACCAGTTCCATTTTGCGTCTTGTGAAACATTTTCTTCAAAGCATATAAATTTGAAAAAGCATAGTTTTATTGTGTCATTGAAAATAAAACAAAATTAAAGTTATCATACCAAAATATATGAGTCTGCTTGTTTAACAGCTAGTGACAAATATTTCAGACATATTCAGAACGATTTTAAATATATGTATAATCTGACTCATTCTTGTTTGCATTTGACAATTCATTGATTGATTAGTGTTTCTTTTACGTCCATTCTAATACATTTATATATTGGTCATAGGTCCAGTGGCAAATATTGCATGCATGTTTAGGATGAGTAATAGATAAATGGGGATACTGTCTGTGTACTTTTCTACAGTCAAATCTTGCCAAAAATTAGTAGTTTTAAATAATAAATTGTAGGTAATTTCTCTGATCATGGTTTGAGGACTGGGACTAAAACACCATCATTTATATATTTATAAATCCAAGAGTAGAGACACTTCCTAAAAAAATCATTAATATTCATTACCTTCTAAAGATAAACGATCAGAGTATATCGTGTAAAACATTACATGATCATTTACCTGTATATGTTAATAGTACAATAACCGGACATGTCAAGTCTTCCTGGTGTGGATTGCAGATTAAAATCCGAACAGTTTAATTCCGAGGAGGTGTCACTCAATACACTGTTTTATTCTATTAGTACCATTCTAATATATTGAAAAAAATTTCAGAACTATGTTTTTAAGAGCAGGAAAAAAACCATCTAACTCTTATTTTATAAGAAAAAGCCACATAACTTTTTTATTTTTTATTTTATTCAAAAGTAAAATTTAATTATAAATTGTTTGCCAAAGTGAAAAACACATTTTGCTTTTATTTAAATTAGGGAAAACAATGAAAACGATATTGATTCAAAAATATTCTGTTTCTTTCTGAAAAAAAAACTGTTTGAATTAAATCGTAAATCGTAATTTCCCCCCCAAAAGTAAGAATCTCTCTAAAAACCAATGCTCCCACACAATTTGGGAGGTTGAGGCCTTACTCATTTTATTATTATTATGAGCTTAATTTCAATTTTTTCTTCCTAAAAAAAAGTACATTATTGTGTTCAATACAAAAACAATCTCAGGACTAAAAGCTAGTTGTGAATATCTGAATGTATTTCAAAAGTTAAAAGCCACATAAATTGATTATTAAGAACATAGTTTAATTATTAAAGAGTTGATATGTGTAGAAGCATAATTATATCTTTATAATCTTGAATTTGAAAGATATTCATCAGATAGTAAATAAACGTGAATATATATTTATTACAAAAATCCTTGGTTATTTTTAATTTATAAAAGATTTTTCACTTAGAACCCAAGAACACGAAAAATAAGTCACAAAATTTTGACAAAATTAATTAATTATGATTAAGTTAAATTCTTTTTATGTAATTTTTTTTTTTTTTTAGTTTTCATGCATTTGTCATCATTAATCTACTGTAATTTTACTTCTTGTATCTCGTTTTGAAATTGTTAAATAAATGATTATACACTTTTTTTTGTATGAAAAATACCATTATACGTTTAGACAATGATCCTTAATCTGTCATATCAGAGACATATAATACAATTTTATCATTTGTCTCTTATCATATTATTTTAAAAATAATTTTTTTATTCCCGAATATTTATTTGAATAACCATTTTTCTCTAAAGAAATATAAAAATTACAAATATTTACATATATGTTATAAATAAATATACGTCTAAACAGACTTTTTCCATGGTTATACAGAGCTAACACTACAATTTATATATAATTCGTCTGAAAGTTAGCCTTACAATGTTAGACCTGCAAATTTGCTAACTCAAATTTTTGTTCTTCCCTCAGCGGGATTCGAACACCTATTTCTGTGACATCGTGGCAACACCGCCTGCACTGTGTCCAGTGCCCTAGATCACTCGACCGCCTACGCTATAAGATAAAGCTGTCGATATTTGAGTAACGCTTTTTCTCGTCGGTTTTATCAGGACATGATGTATGTGGCAACAGAAAAGAGCTTCGGACGCATGAAATTATTAAACGTGTTGTTTTCAATTTTTTTTTCAGACCAGCTGTTTTTGTCTGCTGTGAAGGACGATAATTGTACTCATCATGCACTCACATCAATATTATTTTATTATTTACATAGAAATGTAATCATTTATCAACAACCAGGTCAGGTTTTGGCAATTAAACCAGAAAAAGACAAGATAGAACAGCAATTCATATTTCCATACAAAAGCACTGATATGTTATCAATTTGATGACAGACAAATAGTATCAATTACGATTTTCATCCCTTATCCATAACTTTAAAACATCTTCGGAAAGTGGTTACTGCATCTGGTAAATTTGAGATAATGATAATAACCAAGAAAACAAATTTTATAATTTATATAAGAGAAATATTTGAAATTCAACTTTTCATTAATTAGCTTTTGAACTAATGTAATTATCTATTTAAGTATTTAGCTTTTTTGGGCTAGCTTCATATCTATATCTTTTAATGATAATCATGAAAAAACAAGCAAAATAACAAGAACAGTTTTTTTTTATAGGCTGGCAATTAAGCTACATATTGAAATATCAAAGTTTAGATAATTAAATTCCCCTTTAAAGCATGCATCCCGAGTGTATTATTTCCTTCAAACATTTTTTTTATTTTCTAAATGTGTTTTTTCAACCTAAATTTGACTACATAAAAATATGTTTTAACGTAGAACAGCTGAAAAGCTATCTTTTTGCAGATGGTGGTATTTGGACAACTGTATGGGTTGTTATGATTGGCTGTGTTATAAGCAAGAAGCATGTTTGCAGTAATTTTATGATGTCAAAAACTTCCTTTGCACTAAATGAAATATGTTATTTGGTTTTATGGGGATTAACAATTGAATCACAGACAAACATGTTGGTATTCACTCATTTTTATCCTTTTCACCGGAATTTCAGGAAAATGGCGCTATTTATTTAAAATACGTCATCAATATTTTAAAGTGCGTTTGACAATTGACTAATAGTCTCTGTTTTTCATATTTCCATACAAAATTTTATTGTTTAGAAGACAGAATATGCAAAAATGTTGGCGTCTTGTAAAATAAGAAATTGTTCGGCCTTGACCATTTATCGTGATTTGACAGAAGTTGCACCTTACGAATATTTGACGACCGGGCAAAAAAGACAGTACAGATGATATGCTTTCGAATAATATATGATTTAGCCGTATGTTAGGTGGATGCATTAAAATGAAATTTTATGGTTAATGTCCCTCGACTATAACAAATTTTGAAAATATAGTGATTTTCAAAGATACATTTTATAATTGTCACAAATATACGATTTTGTTTCAGTCATTTTGCTAGTGATTTTACTTTATTTTGCTATATGATGGACGCTTTCACAAATGGAAGAAATAATTTGTAGGAAGAAATATTATTGATTCAGACGACAAATCATTTTCGAAGAAAACAAAATGCGTTTTAAATATGCGTATAATTGGTTCGCCTTTTTACGATTTAATCATTTGCACATATGCTTGATTTATTTCAGACAAATATGCAATTGTAGAAACATCCCTATCCGTCCAAAGCGTCATCATTTTATCATTAGTGATTATCATTGCACTTCTGTTGGCTTGGATGGGATTATATGTTCGTAAGTTCAAAGTGTGTTATTTGTTAATCCAAAGACAATTGTTTGGAATATCAAACACATAATCAAAACGTAATATTGCACACAAGAAAAGGCATATTCCAAATAAAACAATGACTATTCATTAGACGAAATGTGGTATTTACATATGTATTGCGTTTAATAACGCATCAGAGAGTACGAATTTTTAGAAAAACATTATTACAAATTAAGTATATATGTCTCAAAAGGTCATCGTTTAATTTTTTACGGTTCCGTTTTAACTGTATTAAACATTTTGTTGGTACGGAATGAACTATGTATAATTAATATGTTTTACTGTAATTGTGTGACATCAGTATTATCTATTTTCAATGTAAATATTGATTATAAAATTACATACTCAATGTAAATATTGATTATAAAATTACATACTCAATGTAAATATTGATTATAAAATTACATACTGAATGCAAATTAATGTTATTAAAGGTTTATTCCATGTTTCAATTTCAGGTAGACTGAAACAGAGATACAAAGACAGGTCAGTTTTATGTTTTATTAACAGATAGAACAGAATTTTATAAAATTCCAATGTTGGTGGTTTTTTCAAATGTTGTACAATTGCAACCCTGTATTGAAATTGATCTTAGTCATCTAATATTGTATTGATCTTTTTGGCAATAAATAATTTTTGTAATCATCGGTTTTGAAAATACGCATAACTTACTATTTGTTGTTTGTTAATTAGTGGATTTGTAAAGCATTTTTATCAATCATTCCTTGTTGTTATAGTAGTTCTTTCTCTGTCCGATTAAACATTTAACAACAAATAAGGAAATTATTTCTAAAGACTGGGAAGTTAATAAGCCAATTACTTTAACACGGAAACGTAGTTTTTGTAGGCCAGAAGACGGTTAAGTGAGCAATGATTTGCTTATGTTGTTATAAGAGAACGCAATACACTTTTTGAATAAATAGTGTTTCTCATGGTAATTTTAAATGATTTCTGCTTTGCACATTTGCAATTAAGTTTTAGTTTACACATGCCATTTAAACATTTTAGGATGGAACCTGCAATAAATGTCCAAACATCTGAAGGGACTTTTGGTGAAAGTGCTCATTATACAGAGATAATTGAAGATGATAACCTACAACCCACATCACAAGGTACTTAATACAATACCAAAGAAATGATAACATTCCAATTCGATTTTTGCTACCTGTTAGTAGGTACCAATGCGGAAAGACAGGCATAAAGGCTCAATCAACCAAGTTATGACCGGTTCGTTTCTTATTTCATTCAAATGACATTTTGTAGTAATGAATTGTTTTCTTTCCTCGTATATTTGCAGTAAAGTTTGAGCTGAGCATTACATTGGAAAATGTTGCCTTAAGGATACTTGACTGCCTCGGTGCCTCCATTATTTTTTTCATGCTTCTATTTTTCATTTTAGTTTTCAGTTGAAAAGTTGAATGATTGGTCTCAAATGTGCCTAATAAAGGATATTTCAGTAGTACGTATCTTGCACACAATTTTATTAGTAGTTCCACACAGCTCAGGTCTTCGATCCTATTAGTTGCGGTCGTCATGTTGTACATAATGAAAAAGCAAATCTAGATTCACTAATCACTAAAATTATATTTAAGAGGGCAAATTTTATTTTGAATTGATAAATAAGTTTGGACAATTTGTCAGTAGTGCTTTTTCTATGCTTTTTGCCCAACATATAAATATTTTGAAGTCATCTGGCATTATCGGTAAAGTTGACTCATTCTTTCTTGTTCCTCATTGTTGCTGTGTACAGTTTACTTTCTCTGCTATACCCTTCGTCATAAATGAACACAATGGTTAATAATCATCATTAAAAGACAACCATTTAATTAAGGAGTCGATTGATTATTTCGGCTATGATGATATAAGTGCAGACCTTGTATCATGTGTATTGCTTATCATTTTTTGTTGTTAACAGTATCTATTTGTCTGCCATAGTATTAGTCAAAAATGTAAATAATTGTAAAACCTTGTCATTTTGGGCTGTTACTCCTACAATGAGTCGACTGACAATTTCGGACATGTTGGCACATTTGTGGATCTTTACTTGCTGATCAATTTTAGTTTCTCTTTATCTGTCATAGGTTTCAATATAATATAAGTAATAACACAAACAAAATCGTACACAAAATTTAACAAAATGATTGGAAACATCGTTTAAGTCAATAAGGCCTTTAAGAATTCATCTAACAGTTCGATTCGAATCGACAGTATATAGATCTTGGCATGTTGAACATTTATGTCCCCTCAGATTTCTCTTCTTAAAGAGGTTTTTAAGATAAAAGACATAAACAGCACTTTATCACTATGTTCTATGTTTAGTCATGACAGCAATTTTTGTTAAAAACAGAGTTAATTGGCCACATTTTTTAATCTATATACCCAATTGATAAGTATGGCCAAGTTTGGTTTCAATTGGTCCAGTAGTTTCAGAGAATGATATTTCGTTTAAATTAAAAAGATGACGGACGACACCCGTCATACGATATGTAATGAGAAACACTAACCCGCACTTGGATCATCTACGGTGATCATTAGCCTGCACTTCTGAATTGGCGAGTGCGAACTTTGTTCATGACGAAGAGTGCTCGACTCCTATCTTATTTGACAATGATGCAACTTTACTTGACGACGGTCGATTGTTCTGTCCGCATACTCCTGCACCCTTCAACAAAAAAAAGTAGAAAAAAAACCGAGCATGCATGATATAGCCATAGTAGCACAAAGTGGGGTAAACTCCAACAATCACTTATTAATACATTGTTAATATATCTTCACCAAATAAAACGTACTCATGGTTGAAGAAAAAATTGTACAGTTTTCCTGGCTCTTCAGAAAAGCTTTTGTGCCTTTACAATATACAGTCAAATTACCGTCTTCTGGTCATATTTTGATTTGTATTGAGTTTTAGGGAAAACTGACACAAACTATGTTATTCAAAAGATGACAGAAATTGAAAAAAAAATTGCATATACCCGGTATGCTTCTTAAATGTTATATAACGCGGAAACCTGAAATTCTGGCGTTATTTTTTTTTTTAATTTACACAAGTTTTATTGTTCAAGTGAAAATGATATAATGTGGGTCTTATGATTGCAGAAAATGATAACCCCATCATGTCAATGATCATTAGAGATATAGACCTAGTGTCGGCAGAACATACATCCACATCATCGGACAATGATAGAGATTCTTCGGAATATTGAGACGATGGATATGAACAGCCATACACCACGTTGCTGGTTACTGATCAAGTAAAAGACGATCATGTTTATCTCACTACCAAAAAAGAGTCAGATTATGAAAATGTTGCTTTTGGACATGCCTGTGAATTCTTAGAAGAATATTCTTTATCAGATAAAACAAATGCACATGATGACCACGAAAATTGGAATCTGAATTGCGACGTGAAGGACTTTAACGAAACAAATGATAGTGTGCCTCACACTCATATTTATCCGCAAAGGAATAAGGTAGAATACATCCACTTGTCTCTTAACCAATAACATAAGGTTTAAAATTTATCGTTTTAACTGAACTTCTAAACATGATAGTATTCTGAAATGAGGCCATTATATGTATGATCCAATTGCAGTTATAATCTTAGATTTTATGACTTCAGATTGATTAATGGTGGTTAAACACCCAAAAGCCGTTTTAAATGCGCATTTAGCAAGATTACATTAAAAGGACATGTGATTCTTATATGACGACCTATGTATCGTCAACCAGTATAACGACAGTATCTACATTTAGTCCAGACGCATTAATACACAAAATAGGATGTTTCAGGTTACGCCAACCTTTTTTATACGACAAAGAAAACTCAATTTTTGACAGTTAAACCGACGTTTTACATAGGCCAAGCTTCAAATACAATACGGTTATCTCTATTCTAAAGCAAAATAAACAGATCAGTCCATTTCAGTTATTATTTTGATGTAAAATGTCAATTAAACGAAATTCCGCCAAATGATGTTATCATCTTTGGCAACTAAACAAAGTAACTTTACATGTATGCTTCCGGCGTCACATGTAAACACCGGGCGTTTTCAGGCGTCTTGCACGGTTTAAAATGTAATAAAATTAGATTAAAGAACAAGTTTTGTTGAACAATGTGAGTTTTCTTTATTTATTGTTGAATAATATGATATCATTATAATTATATGGGGGCAAAACAAAACAGGCAAAGCAGTATCGTGTGTATAGGGGTTTCATTCCAGCAGCGCCTGCATACGGAGTATATATCTCCCAAATGATACGATGCCCGGGCTTGTATTTCCTATCATGATTTCCTTGATAGAGAATTGCTGCTCACAAGGAAGCTATTAAACCAAGAGTTCCAAATGGTGAAGTTGAAATCATCCCTTCGTAAATTTTACGGACGCCATCACGAGTTGGTTGACCGTTATGGAATAACCGTTTCACAGATGATATCGGATATGTTCCTTATATCGTAACTACAATACCCTTCCCTTTTCACGAATGTGACCTACGAAATTAGACTATTTACCGGATTTGTAATAACATAAGCAACACGACGGGTGCCACATATGGAGCAGGATCTGCTTACCCTTCCGGAGCACCTGAGATCACCCCCAGTTTTTGGTGGGGTTCGTGTTGCTTAGTCTTTAGTTTTCTATGTTGTGTCATCTGTACTATTATTTATCTGTTTGTCTTTTTATTTTTGGCCATGGAGTTGTCAGTTTGTTTTCGATCTGTGAGTTTGACTGTCCCTCTGGTATCTTTCGTCCCTCTCTCCTTGACAAAATTTCGGCTGCCATGATTTTTTTCCTTAATATACGAGGCTTTGTATTTGACCTGAATTGTCAGAATTATAATGTGTAATCTAGCTCTCAACAAAAATGCAAACCCAAGGAATTTACTCGGAAAAGGAAAACCACTAATTCATACCCATAATCGCTTTCTCAGCGTAATTTTACAATTTTGAACTTTATGTCTTATGTTCAAATAGAGTGGTGGTCATTTCTTGTAGCAATGACCTTATATTATATATAATTAATCTTGTTTATGTGATTTATAAAACAATTCCCATTACAAGCAAGGTTCATCTGAACCTTTAGGCTCAAATGCCGTGTTTACACCATAAAATTAACTCTGAGTGATAACAAATCTGTTCATCTAGACATTTTGCGGGATATAGCATGAACTAGATATACAAAGTTCAAATGTATTATTTCTTAGAAAATTAAAACTTAACTGGATATGCTGTGCACTTATTTCGTTCATACAGAATGGTCCAAAATCAAATAAAGTTGGGGAGAGGTCTGAGAACTGCCCCTTACAATCTTAATAAGATATATCTCGCATACATACTTCCACTTTTAGAATATGCATGCGAGCTATGGGAATGGGATGGGTGCTGTGTTAGAGATTCTGAAAAAAATGAGCGCTTGCAGCTTAAGGCAGCCAAAATTATTACTGGATTTTCGCAATTTGCAAGCAAAGAATCCCTACTTTTTGAAACTGGAGGAGAAACTTTAAGTTCTAGAAGAAATAGACCTAAATTATGTTTATTTCATAAAATACATAATAATAATGTCCCAGAATATCTTATGGATTGTATCTCAGATTATGCAGATAATAATTATTATACTACTAGAAACCGTTCTCACTATAGTGTACCTAGATGTAGATTGAACATATGTTCTAAATCATTTTCCCCTTCCTCAATTCTTGCATGGAATTTATTGCCGTTAGATATTAGATCCATTCAGTCATCTTCAAATTTCAAAAATACAATCCGCCGAAATGATATTTCATTTTTGGTACCTAAATATTACCTTTTTGGAAATAGGATAGAAAACATATTGCATACAAAATTACGTCACAGTTGAGTCCCTTAAAAGCTGATTTAAACAGAGCAAATTTAGAAAATGACCCAAGTTGTGCTTGTTGGTGTCCATTAGAAGATTCAATTCATTTTTTCTTAGAATGTCCACTCTACATAAATTTTAAAAATCAGCTCTTTGAAAATATTAGTTGCTATTTCATAGAACATATTTTATTTGGAACAGACGAAATTAGTGTTGAACAAAACATAATTCTTTTCAGAAATATACATAGTTATATACGCCATACAAAACGA